TACGGTAACTGTTTTATTTGGAATAAACAGTGATGACATAAATGGTACATTGGTATAAATATGGGTATAGATTTTGCCACTATCCAGGTATAAAATGGTCACACTTTTGAGCTCTCAGGGGCACCACCCTATCCAGCTATTTGTCAACTGCCCCCCCCCCCCGGGACGAACTCCTGTTATATCATCACAGGAGTTGAAACTCACTGTCGGTTCAAAGCTTGGATTTTACTAAACCACAACTAACTAATTCAATGAAAGTCGATAAAAGTACACGATTTTTATATTGCACGCAACAAAAACTATCACCAATTTATAGTTTGGCACAGTTTGTTAAATACTCACCAGTGCGAAAAGTTGTTTTCCCGGGATTCTGCTCGCTAAACCGTACGTAACTTTAATGACAGCCATTTTCCTGTCGAACGAGGACAAAATTACTTGGCTAAATGACGTCACTGTGTTAGAACTAAAACGCCGGGGAATGATTGTCTTCTCCTCTTAGTATTTCGCTATAGATTCTGTGGTATTCTTCACTGTTGTTGTCCATTTTCCATGCATCTGTCACACGCAATGTAATATTACCGTAATTGGTATAGTACAGGTGTGATGGTTCAAATACCAAAATGGCAACAGTAACAGAAAGACTTCCCTGGCTGCGATGATAAAATACGAATACGGAGCCAACAGATGAGGTTTCAACTGGTACTGGTATAATTATACTCTGCAAACATCAAGTACAATAACGCGGTAAAACGCCACTACTCCAATAACTAGATACTTAAACTCCAATACAATTCAACGAGATCTCCGATCTGATCTCAGTGCTGAACAACTCCCCTATATATACCCACACTGTCTATAAATAGACCATTACATCAGCATACATAATGAGTCTGGAATTTACTACATATTTCTAGAATGTTCCATTACCTTCTATTGCCTTCTACAGTGTCCTATTACCTATTCAACCAGCTTCTAAAACTTCCACCCAGACACAGTACGGTTCTAGAACATTCTCAGTCACACGGAAGTGGTAAACAAGTCGTATGCGACAGCATCCTACATGGAAAGACATTTATTTGTGCATTTCTGTAAAAAAAAAAACTGTGGACAGTATACACATGCAGCTAAAGTAGACGACGAGTAGTTCTCTTTCCGGAAGTATCCCACTTGTTATCGGAAATGCCTTCTCCAGTGACGTCAAAATGACCTGAAGAAAATGGCTGTCACCGAAGTTACGTGTGGTTCGGAGCACTAAACCCCGGGAAAAGAACATCAAACTAATGGTTTTTGTCTCGGTTTTGGTTTCGTTGACAGTTTAATAAACACGATATCGATTGGCATTAGCTCCGATGGTGCCAGTGTGATGTGAGAAAATATCTTGCTTTTGTCGACTTGTATTTGGCGTCGCACGTTTGTGTTATAAAAAGCCATAGCTCTTCTGTGTCCATAAAAATCCTAATGTATGAAAATAACAAATTTAATGACACAAAATATATTAGAAATAACTAAAATACCATCACAAAGACCAAAGACTGACACACAAAGAGCTATGGACTGTTAGCTAATTACAGAGACAATACAAATGTTAGTTTATTGTTTCACATTATGTATTAGTTGTAGTATGGGGGTTTATACAAACAAAAACTACACGCCTAATATTTGTTTTCTAAATTATGCCCCTGTGCTTGGGGCAATACAGAAAAGTAAACGCAGGCATGCAGAATTAAACGTTGTGATAAACGCCCCCCCCCCCCCCAACGTTCGAATAAAGCCACACGATCAGAGTTCGGGCCGATTAATGTGTCGCCTCTGCATAAACAGTAAGATGAAAACGCTTCTCGTAGGCGGTTGCAGTTGGACCACGTCATAGAAGGACTGTCAGTTGTTGGTCGAATTTTAGTTTTCATGGTTTTTTGTTTAACAAAAATAAAGGGGGGTGTTTGTAAAGATAAGATACTTTCAGTAGTTCGAGCAAGCAATTTTACAAGTTGGGCATCTCAAATCCCTGTTGACATAACAGTGGTGTGTCCTAACTGCCTGACAAAACGTGTAGCCAAAACATTAACATAGTACTAGTAACTACACTTCAAAGGCATAACGTTTGGTCTGTTTCAGTTGTGTCTATGCAAAAGCGCTATGTGTACATTTTGAGATAGATCCAACCGATTTTTTATCACATGTGCTAACCAGCAAATGTGAACGCCCGGGGTTCTGTTGCTGTGATACTTGGCAAGGTGTAATCAGGCGGGGCATTTTCAAATAGTTTTCATATTTTGAGTAGTGTTCTAGAGCTACATGATGATATGTCAACACATATGTTTTATATACGTTGGCATATTAGCCAGATAATCTCTAGTGAAAACATAATGCATAAAACGAATTTTATCAAATATATTGTCGATCCGCTCCGCTAGGATTGCCCTTAAATCACCTTTGTGTGTCTGTCTGTGTGAGTGTAATTTACAGTTTTTTCACGTATTTATTCTTCTGTGATTGTTTTGGTTAGGCCGATTTTGCTCGAATTCGGCAGGCAGGTCACACCTTCACTCTAGCTAGGTGGTAAAATCTGAAAAAGATTCTGGCCCACCATTGCCATAGCAATCAAAAACTGATTTTTGAATAGCTTCGCGCCAAATGTAAATCATTCTACAAATTTAAAGTGCTTGTGAAATGGCTTCTATTTTCACGCCTAAAATTATCCATTGATACATAAATATTATTAATTTTTATGTTTCTAAGCATGAATTATTTTTTTAAGTGAAAAAATGTGTTTTAAACTCAGTCTACAGCAACTTTATTTTTGAGTATTTTAAAACGAGGCTCCTCATTAGCTTCTCATTTGCATACAGGAATTACCCTAGTGACGTCAGAAGTGGAAGTCGCATGGCAGCTTGCATTGCCGATACGTGTAAATAAGGCATATTTCTTGTGCAGTTTTCTCGTCTTTGACTAAATTTAAATTTATGTACTTGTTCGTCGAGGAAGAATGGACCATAATTAACACATAGTATCAATTTTTGTTGCATGAGGTTGAATTATATGCGAAATATGTCCGTTCTGGTGCAGCTGGTCACCGTGATCGTCACCGACACCGGCGCACGTTTGTACACTGTCGCTGGACAAAATATAATTTGACGTCGGAATTATCTCGTTATTTAGCAGGTTACTAGGCACGTCACTACACTGTTTTATTAAAACTTTCAAAATTAAAATAAAAGAGAACATATTTTGACATTATAAACATTAGACTATAGTGATCACTATAAAATAATTAAAAAAATGACAAATCACAGTTACTAAATAAATGACAGCCGCGTGGAAATAAATTGACATTTTGTTAAAATAGGTGAACGCGTCGGGTCACGGCGAGGACAAGTGCTTTAAAAGCGGCGTTTAATTGGATAACAAAAATAATCGAGATCGACACACATACAGATAAATTCAGAGTGGATTCGAGTTAGCGTGATCCATGGCGTAATTGTCTTAATTATAACATCGTATTAAAACTTTATTTGGTGTAAACACATTGACCAAGCCCGGATTCTTATTTCATAAATTATTACCCAGATCAAGCTGCAAGCATGGAGGTAAAAAAAGAACAGGAGGACGTCTCTCTCTCTTCTGAAATCCGCCTCGGTGATCATGGTCTGATCCGGAATCTATTTCTTTCAAAAGTGTTGCGCCAGGTTTACGTTGTCGGCGTTTCTCTTTACACCTAGTCGTTTTTTTTCATGGACGAGGACAGTTTTTCTAAAAATGTATGTTTATCGTTTAAAAGTATACTGAATGACCAGTGTTATTACGGCTCAGGGGTATGACTTCCTCTCACATTTTGGCATTTGGTGGCGTACTTTCGGCAATCCGGAAACAGTCGACCGTTTCACAATAGGTGGGCGTGGCTACAACAAGAGAAATATCCCAAATTCACTTGGATACGAGTAATCATTTTCAGCCAAAAAAATCAATAATCAATAACTACCCATTTCAGTTGGACACAGATATAAAATGGGAAACGTGAGGGGGGGCATGGCACAGGCGGACATAGGTCATTCTACTCCGCTTGAGTGAGAGCACAAAGTTACCATTTAATTTTTTATATCTTTTTTCATTAACGAGAAATTTTATCTCAACGTTGGGGTAACTATTGCGATCGGCCGATATCGCTCAAACTTGGTAGGCTGGCCATAACTTGACTCAAGTTGGGTAGTATCAATTTTTTAAAACTTTCCCACCAACATTTATGACTTCCTACCAGTCTTGTGGTAGAAGTTGCGCACCACAAGAGATCACCAACGCCGACATTGTTACACTGTACCAACGTAACCCCATCACAACTTTGAATGTACTGTAAATGCTGCGTTCAATAAAATAATCTATAAAATACAATCGCGAAACGGTCAGAAATAAAAAGTTTATCATTTTACTGAAATCTAGTTTGAAGAGTCAACTTGCGCCGCGTGAATATAATAACGATAACAGCAAAAGACGCGCTAATAATAAAGTGAAGTGGCTTCCTAATTGCGAACTTCGTTTGCTGCACATTAATGTCCTACCATGCCGGCAGCGGGGCGGAGCGGATCGCCAATCAGTCTACCGGCTTGTCCTGAAACTATTCTTAAACTGGTTGTGATGAATGTTATTTATTAAAGCGGGGGAGTCGTGACTTGCGATGCGTCATATGGACATAGCGTGTCATTGTTTACAAAAAAGGGTCTACCCATGAGCCTTTGCTTTTTAGCGTGTGTTGTTATCGTCGCTTGGGACTCAGTTCCCGCGCGTGCGCAGGTGACGACCCTGCCACTTTAAACGGTTCGCATTTTTATTGATATGTTGTACTATTGTCGTGTCCAGACTAACCCTTATATTTTCTCAATAGGCACATAATAGCGGTCGTTTTCCTAGAGACATTGATGGTAAATATGAATTAATTATTAGAATATGCATTGTTATTGTCGTTGAAGGTAACGACGAGTGACATTTGAAAAAGAAAAAATATCGTAATGCAGTATATTCATATTTCAGGCCTTGTGTTTGTTGGTACTGGCGTCGATGAGAAGTTGTACACCAAAAGTTATTCTGACAAAAAGTGGGACGGTCCTTTTGATACTACATGCTGTATGGTAAGAATCGCATTCATGCAAGACGGTAGCTTACTTGGAGTCGGTGAAGACCAACTACTATATACCAAAACGTCATTTGATTCTGGCAGCTGGGAGGTTGTTGAGGACAGTTGTTGCATTCAGGACGTGACTGTGAAGCACGACGGTACAATCATCGGCATATCGAACGAACCGAAACTGATGAGTCGCACCGATCTTTCCCGCCAATGGACAACCATCCTTAAATTCAATGATGCTATCCGTATTGATGTATTACCAGACGACAATCTGTTAGGTGTTACTGCAGACGGCGAACTCAAACGCCGAGAGGGTGGTATTTTTGGTAATTGGGTATGGGAGAAAACCGTTGGTATGAAGGCCGAAGACATCTCGATTCAACCTGATGGCACCGTGTTAGGCATTGAAAAAGGCGGATGCGGTGTTCACGTCCTTGACTTAGAAACTGGTGTATGGGGTGAGGAATTACCTGAATCTCAATGTGTAACAGCTATTGCGTCACCTGGCAATTTGAGTGAGTATTGAACAAAGTGTTTCATTATCAAATTAACAAATAAGAAGTGAAATGTATGACAAAATAATTGCTAACAGTAGTTACATCATTGTGTAATATTAATCTTACGTTTTTCCCCATCAAGTATTCCCTGTGCTCATGGAAAACACTGTAACAGACGCACCACCGAACGGTACGTACTCATTTAAATATTTAAACATATGTAATGAACACATAGGGTCTTGTGTATAGTCATATCTAGAGCACCATTACCGATAGAAATATTCACACAGTGTATTATTGAACACATTACACACTAGATCTGATCAACATACGTCTTGGCACATATGGCCATGTGCAATATTGCAGATACTTGCATTTAATAAGTGTTTTATTGAAGACCTTGGGCTCATACGTATATCTAGAGCACTGTTACAGATTGGGATATTCTACCAGTGCTTTTTTAAAGACATTGGTCCCATCATCAGATCAACATATTCAATAACCATATATGATTACGTGATCTTATTAAAATGCATAAATAGTGTTCCCAACCTTGTATAATGGTCTTACTGATCTGATGAAGACAACGTGTGAAATTGGTAAACTGCTTATGTAAAAAATTATCTCAAGGTTGCGTTGATCTATTCCACGCCACACTATGCTCACAAGACATATCATCTTCAAATTTCTTAATTTTGAATTGTACTTTCAGCTATTTGTCAAAAGCCACACTTTGATACAGTGACACACTGTGAGATATATGCCACATGTTTTATTAGTAGGTACAATACACATGTGTAATATTAGTTAGGTTATTTAGTTGCAACAATATGCCAGGCCTCATTTACATATTTTAGTCCAATTAAATAAAGTAGTAGTTTTTTAATTAGTAAACATATCTGCCCGAAGCTTCAATTCATGTCTGTATGTTATTTAATGTTTATATACCTGTAAAGTTGGTAGTGAAATGATTGGGACCACCGCCAAATCAAGTGCGTTCGGACTAAGACATTCAAACTCTCAGTTATCGTTCAAAAGATAATGATGGTGCGAAATATGTGTGGGTTTTTTACGAAAATGCTTTGTCACAGAATAATAGTCTGTTAAAGGTACCAAGTATGGAATAATTAGGGGACAAAAAACAAACCTGCGTAGAAATCGGAAGAATAGGTCTTTTGACTATCGAAGACGCATTTCAATGGACTTGATTACAGACAATGCCTTGCGCAAATTTCATCCGGAAATTCCGCATTGTGCTCTCGCAATCGAGGACTTAGTAATTTTTACAAGGTTTGCCACTTTTGTGGTCACGTGGTAATTACGTAAACATTAACTCTCCAGTTTGTGCGAACTTGTCCCTCTATACTTAGGATTTTGGAATATATACGCTAAATTACGGTTATGAATGAGACAATAGACAGAGAATGCTTTAATCAAAAACGTCACCAAACCCTTCTCGTTACCTTAATTAAGTTTATGGCACAAGAGCCTATCTACAGATAGACCAAATGTTGTCGTTGCGAACATATTGTAAAAATGTCTGAAACTATCCACGTGTATGCAATTTACATATCATAGTGTGGAGATATCTAAAACATCACATGTCTGTAATTTACATATCATAGTGTGGAGATATCTAAAACATCACATGTCTTTAATTTACATATCATAGTGATTGTGGAGATATCTAAAACATCACATGTCTGTAATTTACATATCATAGTATGGAGATATCTAAAACATCACATGGTTGTAATTTACATAGCATAGTGTGGAGATATCTAAAACATTACATGTATGCAATTTACATATCATAGTGCAGAAATATTTACCACATGTCATTAATTTACATAGCTTAGTGTGGAGATATCTAAAACAACATGTTTGTATAATATCACATGGCTATATTTTACATACCACAGTGTGGGCAAATCTAAATATCACATGGTTGTAATTCACATAGCATAGTGTAGAAATATTTCGGTAATTAGCATAGCATTGTGTAGTTATCTAAAAGATCGTATGTTTTTAATTTACATAGAATAATGCGACGATATATAAAATATTAAATTGCTTTAATTTACAAATGGCACTGTAGTGATATCGAAATATCCCACATCTTTAATTTAAATCAGTGTAGAATTACCTGAAACTTCACAGGGCGGTATTTTACATACATAATGTCGAGATATCTAAATTTCGTATGGTTGTAAATAACATAGCATAGTATAAAGATATCTTACACATCATACGTATGTAATTTACTTAATATAGTGAGGAAATATCTAAAATTTCACAGCTATTTAAAACATATTATGCCTTTACATAATAATTTACAAAGCACGAAGCAAAGATATCTTTCTATCGAATGACTGTAATTTATATAGTATAGTTTAGATACATCTAAATGACACATGGATGTAATTCGTCGAGTATATATTTTGCAGATATCTAAAACATCACATGACTGTATGTCATTTACATAGAATTAGTATGAGGTTCTATTACAACACTACGTGTCTGTAATTCACATAGCATAGTGTGGAGATGTCCCATATCACATGACTGTATTATATATATAATATTATAAGTGCTTTATTCACATAGCATAGTGTTAGGTATGTAAAACACAACATGTCTGTAATTTACGTAACATAGTGTGTAGATATTATAATTTGCAAGGCACACTGCAGAGTTATCACAGATGTTCGTGAGTTAATATCAATATCTCCACACTGTGCACGTTGTGATTTTGAGTAAATTTATGTCATTCGATTGTCCAATTTAAGCTAATTAGAATTGTCACATCATGGCCAATAATTTATTTATACGCTGTTGGTCAAATATGCAATAAACAAATGCAATGATCTAAAGACACTCTAATATTAATATCTATCACAGTGTCATTTAGAAGTGATCTGCGCTGTGGAGCAGGGTATGTAGCCCCGAACGGTGCTGATCCAGCTGAGTGCG